CCGCGCCGCCGCGGCCTCGCGCTCCGCGGCCGCGCGCGCGGCCGCGACGGCCTCGGCGGCCGCCGCGTGCGCGGCCCCCGCGGCCTCCGTCGCGGCGGCGGCGTCGGCGGCGTCCGCGCGCGCCTTGGCCTCCGCCGCCGCGCGCGCGCGCGCGAGCTCCTCGCGCGCGGCCGCGAGCGCGCGCGCGGTCTCGCGCGCGGCCGCGGCCTCGGCGCGCGCCGCGGCCTCGGCCTCGGCGCGCGCGGCCGCGTCCCGCGCCGCCGCGAGCTCGGCCTTGGCCGCGCGGAGCGCCGCGACGCGCTCGCGCGCCTCCGCGTCGCGCGCCGCCGCCGCGTCGCGCTCCGCGGCGGCCGCGGCGGCCGCGGACGACGCGCGGGCCTCCGCCGCGGCCTTGGCGTCGCCGAGCTCCCGCTTCGCCGCCGCGAGCTCCGCCTCCGCCGTCGCGAGCGCCTCGGCGCGCGCCGCCGCCGCGGGCGCCGCGGGCGGCGCGGGCGGCGCGGGCGGCGCGAGCGGCGCGGCGCGCGCTGCGGGCGCCGCGGGCGCGGGCGCGGGCTCCGGCGCCGCGGGCGCGGGCTCGGGGTCCCGCGCGGCGATCGTGCGCGCCGCGTCCTCGTCGGCGCATGCCTTGAGCTGGGCGTTGAGCGCGTCGCCCCAGCGCCGCGCGGCCTCGGCCTCGGCGGCACGGAACTGGACCCGGCCCGCGCCGCCGCGGTACGCGAGCGCGAGGGACTTGCCCGAGACGACGCAGCTCTCGATGCCCCGGAGGTCGACCTCGCCGCGGGGCGACGCGTCGCCCTTGGCGAGGTAGTAGGCGAGGCACCGCGGCGACAGGATGAAGTGGCGCCGCTGCCACTGGCCGTAGCGCGACTTTTTGAGGAGCGGGCCGGCGAGGACCGTGCCCGACGGCGCCGGCGCGTTCTCCTTGGCCCGCCTGTCCTCCTTCGCCTTGAGCTGCGCCAGGCGCACGGACGCCATGGCCGGCGGTCCGCGGCGCCGGCGGTCGGCGGCACCCCCGGGCTGCTGCGAGAACTGTTTATTTTTGATGAACGGTAAGCGCTGCTTCAAGGGGTAGATTGGCAGCTTCGTGGGGCAGCAGCCCCGATGGTTGTTCGCGCAACTTGGGCGGCCCGCGTGCGCCGCGGCCCGTCCATGTAGGCCTCCGGCGCCGGCGACCGCGCGACGCCGACGACCGGCATGCACCGGCGCTTCCAGGACCTCGAGGCCCTGGCCATCAAGCAGAAACGGCGGTCCGGGTCCCTGACGCCCCCGGCGTCGCCGAGCAAGGCGCCGCCGCGGCGCCGGTCCCTGGACGGCGCGCACGGCGCGCGCGGCCCGTCGACGCCGGCGCGGGCCCAGCGGGCCGCCGCCGCCTACGCGGCCGCGGCCGCCGCGGGCCGCGGCCGCGCGGCGTCCGCGCCGCCCGCCGCCGCCGGCGACGGCGCGGGCTCGTTCCTCGCGTCGGCGCTCGCGGCCCTCTTCGGCGACGAGCGGCGCGACGCGCCCGCGGCGGCGGACCCGACCCACGTCGAGCGCTGGCGCCGCGCGTCGGCCGTCGTCACGCGCGCCGCGCGCGCGTGGATCGCGCGCGCGCGCGCGCGGCGGCGGGCGACCGTGCTCCGCGCCCAGCGCAACTGGCGCCGGGCCAAGGCGACCGAGGCCGAGCGGCCGGGCGACGACGACGCGTCCGACGGCGGCGACCTGCCTCGCGCGTCGCTCATCTCCGTCGACTCGCCCGACGCGCCCGCGGACCTCGGCGACGGCGGGCGCGGCGCGCCGGAGGGGCCGCGCCAGGAGGCGCCGACGAGCGCCGTCCGGAAGACTGCGACGCGCCTCGAGAAGCGGCGGTCCTCCGCCGCGCCCGGCGGCGGCCGGCGCCTCGACTTCTCCGGCGCGGCGCTCAAGACCCTGCCGAGCCCGGAGCGCACGATCCGGTGAGCCCGCGGGCGGCGGGGCCCTCGGCTCGCGTGCTCGGCGCCGGCGGCGCGTCCGGGCGCTAACTAGGCACAGTAATTGCGCAAGGAGAGACAGAGAGGTCAACGATCTTGAAACCGTCCTCGGTAAACTCAGCTAGCAGCCCTTCTCCGACGCGATGGAGTACCTGAATTCCGTGGGCACGGGCGCCGTGGACACGATGCGCGGCGTCGCCGGTTTCGAGACCGGCAGGTGGGAGGCCTACACCGTCGAGTTCGCCGCGCCGACCCTGGGCCTCGTCTTCAACGACGACGGCTGCGTGTCCTCGCTCCAGCCCGGCGGCGAGGCCGAGCGCCGGGGCGTGCGCCTCAACGACTCCGTGACGCACATCAACGGCGCGCCCGTCGGCGACCGGAGCCAGTCCGCGCTCCACCTGGCCGTCGCGTCGCAGCCGTCGCGGCCGCTCGCGGTCGCGTTCGAACGGCGCGCGGCGCGCGACTACGACGCGCAGCTCGGCTCCGTGAACTTCCGCCTCGACGAGGAGAGCGCCAAGGCCGAGTCCATCCTGACCATCATGCTCGACTCGCCCATCGCCGGCCCCCACCCGCACGTGATCAAGCACTGCGCGGGCCTCGCGTTCCTCCGCGTCACGCGCGTCGCGTTCCAGGCGGGCGTGTCCTGGGGCACGGGCTGCGTCGTCGCGCGGCTCCCCGGCGGCGGCTGGAGCCCGCCGAGCGCCATCGGCACGGCCGGCGCGTCCTTCGGCTGGCAGATCGGCGCCGAGGTCGCGGACTTCGTCGTCGTGTTGCACGGCGCGCGCGCCGTCGCGACGTTCGCGGGCGGCGGCGCCGTGCGCCTCGGGACGTCCATCGGCGTCGCCCTGGGGCCCCTCGGCGGCGGCAACGAGCTCAACCTCGACATGGGCGCCGACGTCGCGGGCACGTTCACCTACGCCGTCAGCAAGGGCCTCTTCGCGGGCGTCTCGCTCGACGGCTCCGAGATCAACGAGCGCAACGCCGTCAACGAGCGCCACTACGCGCGGCGGGGCGTCCGCGCGGCGGACATCCTCTCGGGCGCCGTGCCGCCGACGCCCGCCTGCGCGGGGCTCCACGGCCTCCTGCGCCGCCTCGACGCGTCCGTCCCGCCCTACCACTTCGGCCACCACCACTACTACCGGCCGCCGCCGCGCGTCTACGTCCAGGAGCCCGCCGCCTACGCGCAGCCGCCGCCGCCCGTCTACGCGCCGCCGCCGCCGCCCGCGCCGCAGCCCATGTCCGAGGAGCAGCAGGTCGCGGAGGCCATGCGGCGCTCCATGCAGGACCAGTAGGCCCCGCGCCGTAACTAGGACGCCGCCGCCGCCGCGTCGCCGCAGCCGCAGAGCGCGTAGTACTTGGCGATCGTGCCCGACGCGCAGTCGCCGGCGCCCGCGTCGCAGTAGCAGTCGCCGAGCTTGCTCTTCGACCCCGCGGGGTCGTAGCCATTGGCCGCCCACTCGATGAAGTCGCCGGGGCAGCCGAGGCCGAGGCCGCAGCACCGCGCGGCCTCGGCCTTGGAGAGGAAGGCCGGCGGCGAGGGAACCAAGCACATGGTCCTACCAAATGCGTCGGTGACGATGTTTCGTCGTCTTCCCGGTCAGAAGCTCTCAAAAATCGTTCCGGCCGCAGGACGCTGACATGGTCTTGTTATTTTGCGTCGCCCAGAGCAGGTTCGCGCAGGCGTCGGCGGGCTTCGCGAAGCAGCTCGGCGAGTCCTGGCCGGCGGCGGCCGCCGCGAGCACGAGGACGGCCGCGGCGCGCATGGCGCGGGGCGTCGGGCTAGGGCCCGACGGTCGGGGCAGCCCGGCAACACGACGAAAAGGTGCCGCCAGGGTCGCCCCGGAACGAGCGCAATGGGCAGCCTTTAGAACGGAGGTCTCGGGTAAACTCGCCCGAGGCAGCCGCACCTCGCCGCCGCGCCGCGACGCATGGGCCCGGCCGCGTTTCTGCTGGCGCTCTGCGCCGCGGCGGCCGCCGGCGAGGACCTCGCCTGGCGCCGGCCGCCGCTCGTGGACCACGGCGTCGTGTCCTTCATCCACCTGCCGAAGACGGGCGGGACGTCGCTCATCATGGCCCTCGCGGCCTGGGCCGAGGCCCGGGGCCTGCCCTTCTTCCACGACCACGGCACCTGCGACCCGAGCCACGGGCGGACGTGCGAGGCCCTGAGCCCGCGGCGGCCGCGGACGTACGGGCTGCCGACGCGGCGCTGGGAGGCGACGATCGCCGCCGCGGCGCCCGGGGCGCTACGGTGGCCCCTGCTCTTCGCGAGCCACGGCGTGCGCCACGGCACCGTCGCGTTCTGGCAGGACAACTCCGACCCGGCGGCGCTGTCCGCGCGGCTCTTCGGAAGACCCGCGTGCTACGCGCGGCGCCCGCGCCGCCCGGGGGGGTTGTGCGCGCGCGCGGCCGACGGCGCCCCGCGCTAGGTCATGATCGCGCGCGACCCCATGCAGCGGCTCGTGTCGCTCTTCCGCCAGTTCCCGCCCGGACGCGACGCGGTCGCGTGGTGGGCCGGCGCGCGGCGCAAGCTCTGCGGCCTCGCCTGGGCCGGGCTCGGCGTGCCCGCGCGCCGCGGGGTCTTTCTTTCTTGACGGGGGGACGCGCGCCCACGCGCCCCGCCAGGTGCCGTGCGACGCGGCGCCGACGGCGGCGGACTGGGCCGCCGCGCGGTCGCGGATCCGCGACGACGTCCTCGTGCTGCGCACGGAGCGCTTCGACGAGTCCGCGGCGCTCCTCGACGCCGTCGCCGGCGACGCCGGGGCCCCGCGGCTCCGGGACCTCGCGCGGCTCCGCTACCGCTGCGCGGCGGACAACCGGCGCGACGGCGACCCGGGCCGGCGCTGCGCGGCGACGGCCGGCGTCGCACTCGTCGACCCGCGGGACGTCTTCCCCGAAGGCCTCGTCCCCGCGCTGGAGGCGGCGCTCGCCGCGGACGCGGCGCTCGAGCCCCACCTCGTCGCCGTCTTCGAGCACCGCCTCCGCCAGTTCGGGATCACCTAAGCGACCTTAGAGCAACACCGAGGGCGGCGCCGGCGGCTCGGGCGTCGCGTCGGAGGTGCCGTCGTCGGGCGGCGGCGCCGGGGGCGGCGCGTAGAGCGCGGCCGGCCGCTGCTCCGCGAGCTCGTAGTCGCCGACGAGGGCCTCGAGGTCGGCGAGGGCCTCGTCGAAGAGGGCGCCGTCGATGTAGTTGGCGTAGTGGTGGACCATGGCCTTGGCGCGGTAGAGCTTGACGAAGCGGTCGCGGAGCGCGGAGAAGTTCCGCGCGATGGCCGTCGAGTTCGCGAGGCAGAGCACCGCGCGGCTCGCGCGGAGCGGCGGCACGGCGCAGAGGCCGACCTTGAAGCCGTCCGGGTTCCAGGGCGGCAGCCGCAGCTGGGGCCGGAGCCGCGCCGCGGCCGCGGCGACGTCCGCGGAGACGACGTCGCCGCGCGCGAGGAGCGCGACGGCGAGCGTCGCCGCGGGCCGCGCGGGCTGCGCGTCGTAGGTCGCGACGAGGCGGCTCAGCGGCGACGCCGCGTCGGCGAAGAGGCGCTGGACGTGGCGCGGGTGCCGCGCGCGGTCGTCGCCGCCGCCGCGGTCCGGCGCCGCCGCCGCGCCGCCGCCGAAGTCGCGCGGGAGCAGCGGCGCGTAGGACGCCGTGAGGTAGTGGAGCCGCGGGAACGGCACGAGGTTCGTCGCGATCTCGTTGACGTCGATGTTGAGGCCGCCGCTGTAGCGCGCGCCCGCCGTGAGGTGGCTCAGCAGCTGCGCGGCGACGTCGTTCGTCTCGTCGAAGCCGCTCTTCGACGCCTTCGCCGCCGTCGCCGTGCGGCCCGACGCGGGCGCCTGGGCGCCGCGCGCGGACCGCCGCGCGCACACGTCGAGGAGCGCCTGGTTCTCGAGGGGCACGACGCAGTCCGCGCAGGCCGTGAGCCGCTGCGTCGCTAAGACCGCGTTGTAGGGCGCCGTGACGACGTCCTCGTCGTCGCCGCCGGGGTACACGGCGACGGAGAAGCGGCACAGGTCCGGGAACGCGTCGACGAAGCGCTCGAGCACGGCGCTGCCGAGGCCCGACCCCGTGCCGCCGCCGACGGAGTGGAGGAAGAAGAACGCCTGCGGGCTGTCGCACCGCTCGAGCGCGGCGGACGCCGCGGCCTCGATCTCGTCGCCGTACTTGGGGCCGTACTCGCCGTAGCCGTGGCCCCAGTTGTTGCCCGCGCCGCTCACGTCCGTGACGAGCTGCGCCGCGTCGAAGAGGTCGCCGAAGCGCGGGTCCCGCAGCGTCTCGGACACGACGCCCTCCTCCGTATCAATCAGAAGCGCGCGCGCGCGGAGGCTGCTCAGCGGCGCCCCGACGGCCAGCTCCGCCGGCGGCTCGTAGCGCGCGTCCACGTTGCGGAAGAAGGCGCTCATGGCCGCGTCGTAGGTGCCGCCGCCGGCGCCGCCGGACGCCTGCTGCTGCGCCGCGGCCTCGTGGAGGAGCTCGGCCCAGAAGCGACGCCCGATCTGGTTCCCGCACTGGCCCACCTGCACCGTGACCATCTCGCGCACCATCCTGCCGAGGCTCAGGCGAGCGCAGCTAAAGGCGACAAGAGCAGCGCATGCTCCTCGGCCGCAGTGATGTTCAAAGTCGATGCAATGTGCAGTCTGCTTGAAGCGCTACGAGGTGGGCCGATGGTCGCTCGGGCGCCGTCCCGCGGTCGCGCATCGCACTCGCCTCGAAGCCATTTAGGTTTCTCAAAGTGCGGGTCGCGAGCCCGCGCGCGGCGGCGCGGCGCGGCCCCCGCCTAGAAGGCGCAGGCGCAGACGCGGAGCGTGATGGGCTCGTGCTGGTCGTCGCGGCGCACGGTGACGGGCTCCCGGACGTCGAGGGTCACGAGGCCGAGGTCCGCGAGCCTCCGGACCTGGCCGTCGTCGAGGGCCGACGGGTGGAGGAGGAAGTGGTCTTGGGGCGCGCCCTTGAGGACGCCCGTGCGGTCGGGGATGGACAGGTGGCCGCCGCCCCAGCGCTTGCCCGCGAAGAGGCCCTCGCCGACGGTCCACGCGGGCCCGAGGTTCGACGCGGCCTGCTGGATCGCGTCGCTGCCCAGGTGGTCCGACACGGCGATGGCGACGGCGAGCTCGCCGCGGTTGTTGCGGTTCCACTGCTTCTTGAGCAGCAGGGGCAGCTCGATCGTCGCCTCGACGACGCCGCTTCGCTTCCGCTCGACGGGGATCGTCGTGGACGCCCGGAGGTCGATCCACTCCGGGTCGAAGGGGTCGCCCGCGTCGTTCGCGCCCTTGACGACGGGCGGCCGGCCCTCGTAGCACGGCGGCAGCGTCGAGCCGTCGAGCGCGGCGACGTGCTCCGCGAGGAGCTCGGACGCCTCCTTGTGCGTGTCGCGCATCTGCTTGCTCTTGGGCGAGATGCGCGCCGCGCGCGCGAGGGCCTTGACGGCCTCCTTGAGCCGCGCCTCGACCTCGTCGGGCAGCGGCGCGCCGTCGCCGCCGCCCGCGCACCGCTTCGTGAACTCGACGTTCGCCAAACCGAGGCGGTAGAAGGCCTTGTCGTACTTGACGTCGGCCTCGCAGGCCTCGCGCGCGTTGCTCTCCGCGTCGCGGAGCGCCGCGAAGACGGCCTGGGCGCTCAAATTGGAGCCGTCGGCGACGCGCGAGAGCAGCGCCTGGGCCCGGTTCGCGAGGAGCACGGCCGCGAGGCGCTCGAGCGGCGGCGGCGACAGCGCGAGGGCCTCGTCGTACTTGCGCACGGCGGACGCGTAGCGCTTCGCCGCGAGCTCCGCGTTGCCCTCGTCCTTGAGCCGCGTGCCCGCGGCGAGCGTCCGCGCGTCGTCGCCGGGACCGCCGCCGTCGTCGCAGTCGTCGCATTCGTCGTCGCCCGCGTCGTCGAGGTCGTAGCAGTTCGAGGCGTCGTGCTCCAGCGCCTTGGACTTGGCCTTGCGCACGGCCGGCGGCTTGTAGAGCCGCTGGGGGATGCCGACGTCGTCCGCGCCGGCCGCGCGGCCGCCGCGCGCGGACGTCTTCGGAGGCTCGCGCGCGGGCGCGGGCACGACGTAGAGGTGCTCGTCGAGGTCGCGCGTGACGCGCGCGCCGAAGGGGAGGCAGGCGCCGTCGCGGCCGCTCAGGCGCATCGTCGCGTCGTCGAGGCGGTTGCCCGCGTGCTTCTTGTTGTAGTTGTCGCAGAACGCGGCCGTGAGGCGCCGGAGCGGCGCGCCGTCCGCGAGCCACTTCGGGGGCACCGTGAGCTTGAGCGAGTGGTGGAGGGAGCTGTCCTGGCCCTCGCGGTAGTGGAGCGTGACCTGGACCTTGCCCGACCCGCCGCCCGCGGACGACGCGGCGGGCGCCGCGGCGGCGCGCCGCGGCCGCGCGCGGCGCGCGGTCGCGGCCCTGGGGCTCGCTCAGCACCTTGACGGAGACCCAGCCGCGCACGCCGTCGGCCTCGATGGCGACGCGCTCCGCGCCCGTGTCGTTGACCACCGCGTCCGACAGGCAGGTGACGATGGTCTTGGCGGGCAGCTCGCGGACCTTGGGCGAGCTCAGCTCCTGGCCCGCGCGGACGAGGGCGCCGCTCTTGCTGCGCACGTAGCACTGGTCGCCCTTCTCGAGCATGGTGCCGCGCCGGTCCTCTGCGGGAGCGGCCGAGGCGGGCGGCGTCGAAAGACGACTTCGCGAGGCCGTCGCTGGCGCCGGTGATGCGAGTGGCAGCCCCGGGGCAAGGAGACGTGAAAGAATCTTTACCTTGACGCCGTAATCAACGCGACCGTCGGTAGCGCTGCTGGCCGGCCCGGGTGGTGCCGCTCGCCCGTCGTCCGGCGCGGAGGGTCGCCGTCGACGTGCGGCGCCGCGTCCGACGCGCCGCGGCCGCTTTCGCGGTTTCCGCCAGCGGTGCGCACGCGCCGCTTTTGACCGCGCTTCGGAAGCGCGCCGCCTTTCGCACCCCTAGACCCGCGCGGCGTTCGGAGCCATGAATCTCGGCGACCTCTGGGGCTGGGAGAAGCGGAAGCTGGGCTGCCGCATCCGCGCGGAGACCCAGAACCCGGCGCTCGACGAGATCCGGGAGCGGCTGAGCAAAATGTCGGGCGTCGACGTGCCGGAGCTCGACGGGCCGTCGAAGGCGCAGCGGCGGCCCCAGACCACGGGGGCGGGCAAGGCGCTGCGCACGGGCCGCGTGCGCGACGAGCTGTCGCGGCCGACGACGGCGGCGCTCGGCGACGGCGCCGCGGGCGGGCTGACCGCGAGCTCGACGGCGGCGTTGGTCGCGTACCAGCGCGACGCGCTGCCCAAGGAGATCTCCAAGACGCGGAAGAACATCAACAAGAAGTTCTTCCAGATCCCCCGGAGCCCCCCGGCCAAAATCATGCTCGACCTCCAGAAGGACCGGCTCCGGCTGCCGCCGCCGACGGCGGGCGGCGACACGCCGCCGCGCGAGCCCGAGGGCGAGGCGCCGCCCGTCGCCGTCGGCGCCATGCGGCCCAAGACGACGGGCGGCGCGGGCGGCCGGAGCGGGACGAACCGGCGGGGCCTGCCGGACAAGGCGCGGTCCGCGTCGCCCGAGTCGCCGGAGAAGGGCGAGAAGGTCGAGGGCGACGCGCGCGTCGTCGACAAGGACCACGTCTTCCCGCCCTACCACGGCGACCTCTTCATGACGCGGGGCGTCTACATGGGCGGCATCATCTACCAGTCGCGGCTCCAGGACCACGCGGAGGGCGGCCGGCGGCGCAAGGGCCCGGGCGAGGCCGCGGAGCGCGACCGCGAGGAGGCCGCGAAGCTCCTCGCGGCGAAGCTCAAGGCCGAGGAGGAGGAGCGTTTGCGGCTGAGCGTCCCGGCGAAGCGCGACGACCCCAAGGCCCACGAGGCGAAGCTCCACTGCGCGAACTCGCTCGCGTCGTGGTCGACGCACGCGGAGAACGCCGCGCGCCTCGCGGAGGAGGGCGCCGTGTCCGCGGCGCTCGTGCTGTCCAAGGACGAGAACGCGGACGTGCGCCGCGCCTGCGCGACGGCCTTCAAGAACATGAGCCAGCACGCGGAGCTCTGCGCGCAGCTCGTGAAGCACACGGCCGTGCCCGTGATTTCCGATTTGGGCGTCGCGGCCAAGGACATCGCCGTGTCGCGGGACTGCGGGCTGGCCCTCGTCAATCTCACGATCATGGACGGCATCGAGGCGAAGCTCGTCGAGGACGGCGTCGTCATCGCGCTCATGTCGCTCATGAACCAGCACGAGGAGCTCGCGGAGCTCTGCAGCCGGGGCCTCTTCAACCTCACCTGCGTGGACCAGCCCTACATGTACATGGAGCGCGTCATCAAGGCCTTTGTGACCCTCGCGTCGTCGACGATGGCCGCGGTGAAGCACGTCTGCGCGGCCGCGCTCTGCAACCTGAGCGACATCAAGGCCGTGCGGAGCCGCATCGTCGAGGAGGGCGTCGTCCAGGTCGTCGGGTTGCTCGCGCGGGGCGCCGAGGCGCGCACGCGGCGCGTCTGCGCCATCGTGCTCCACTCGCTCGCGTCGACGCGGACGTGCCGCGCGGACATGGTGTCCAAGGGCGCCGTGCAGGTGCTCTACGCCCTGTCGAGCGACGTCGACACGATCACGCTCCACTACATCGCGTCGGCGATCATCCGCCTCGCCATGGAGGACCAGAACCTGCCGCGGCTCGTCCACGAGGGCGGCGTGACGGCGCTGTGCAACATCTGCCTCCGGTGCCCGCGCGACGTGTCGACGACGCAGCTCTGCGCGTCGGCGCTGAGTTTATTAAGCCAGCAGGCCATCGGGCGCCAGGCCATCGTCCAGGAGGGCTGCGTGCCCGCGCTCGTGACCTTACTCCACGAGGCGTCCGACGCGTCGACGCTCCGCCACGGCCTCTCCGCGCTGACGAATCTGCTCGTCGACGAGGGCAACCACGAGCAGGTCCTGGGCCAGGGCGGCGTCGCGTCGGTCATCGCGCTCTGCTCCCACGCGTCGTCGGAGATCCGCGAGGCGTGCGCGCTCGCGCTCTTCAACTTCAGCCGGGGCGAGGCCGCGCGCGAGCGCGGCGTGTCCGCGTCGGCGATCCCGGCCATCATCGCGTTGTCGCGGCTGCCGGAGCCGCGGACGCGCATGCGCTGCGCGGCGACGCTCTGCAAGCTCGCGTCCGTCGAGGCGAACGTCGGGCTGATGGTCGAGGAGGGCGTCGTGCCCGCGTTCATCGACATGCTCCAGACGCGGGACCAGGAGATCGTGAAGCACTGCTGCGCGGCGCTCTGCCGCCTGGCCCACGAGGGGTCCTCGGCCGTGACCATCGCGGAGGGCGCGGTGCCGCACGTCATCGCCGGGTGCGGCGAGGGCAGCGACGCGGCGACGCGCCAGTCCTGCTGCGCCGTGCTCAGCGCCGTGTCGGCCCACGAGCCCTGCCGGCGGCCCCTGTGCGCCATGGGCACGCTCGGGGCGCTCGTCGCGCTCGCGCGCGACCGCGCGGCGGACGACACGACGCGGCTCCGGTGCGCGGTCGCCTTCGCGAACCTGAGCCACGAGCCCACGGTCCAGGGCGAGATGGTCGCCGCGGGCATCGTGCCCGTCGTCGCCGAGCTGTCGAACTCGTACTGCGAGGAGAACCAGCTCTACTGCGCGCGCGCGCTCTGCAATCTCGGGTGCCACGCGGGCTCCGAGGAGGCCATCGTCAAGCAGGGCGGCGTCGCGGCGCTCATGATGATCTGCATGGTGCGCGCCGTGTCCCACCTCACGAAGCAGGTCTGCGCCAAGGCGCTGCTCAATTTGTTGTGCACGCCCGCGGTCCGCGAGAATTGGCTGCCCGCGCTCGCGAAGGAGGGGCTGGTGCAGGCCTGTTCCGTGCTGAGCCGCCTCAGCGAGGAGGAGACCATGCGGGTCTGCGCGTCGATCTTCTGCACGCTGAGCGCCCAGGGCCCCGCGGGCCGCGCGCTCCTCGTCGAGCGGCGGTCGACGCTGCTGGACGTCTTCGGCCTCATGCGGTCGCGCGACCGCACGACGCAGGTCGTCTGCGGCAAGACGGCCTGCAACCTGCTGGGCCACGTCGACTCGCAGCAGCCCGCCGTGCGCGCGGGCGCCGTGTCCGTGCTGACGAGCCTGTGCACGCTGGGCGACCCGGAGGCCGAGGTCGCGGCGGCGGACGCGTACTTCCTGATCGCGGGCGACGAGGCCTGCCGCCTGGAGATGGTCGAGGCCAAGGTGCTGCCCGTGCTGATCACGAACGCGCGGTCGCCCAACGGGCCGACGCGCCAGTCGTGCCTCCGCGTGCTCGCGCACCTCGCGTGGTGGAAGAACGTGTGGAAATCAAATATTCAACCCGACTTCAATGTGCGCGTATTCGAATGTTTTGACACGAGAACTTCCGCCGTGCTTCGAGAACTCGACGAGAGCAATCGATTCGTCCAAAAATCAGCCGAATCGACTTCGATTTGACCGAGCTAGAGAATTCTCAAGTTTGGCCCCGACGTCCCAGCTCACTGGTTGATTTGCACACAGGTGGAAGAACGTGCGCGCGCCGCTGCTGACGGCGTCGATCGTGCCCGTGCTCGTCGTGCTCGTGGAGCAGACCTGCGGCGCGGCGGCGGCCCTCGAGGCCGAGCCCGCCGGCGACGCGGACGCCGCGGCGCCCGCCGCGGCGCCGGCGGACGAGAAGCCGCGCGGCGACGACGTCGTCCAGGATCTGACGCTCTACATCTTCACGTACATGACCTTCGCGTCCGAGGACCACCGGGTGGCCATGGTGCGCGACGACGTCGTGCCGGCGCTGGAGCTCCTCTACCGGCGCCTGACGCTCGGCGGGCCGCCGGAGCGCGCGCGGCGCGTCCGCATGTTCGTCGCGGCCGCGCTGCGGTCCCTGGCCGCGGCGACGGCCGCGCTCGACAAGCTCGTCGAGGACGGCGCCGTGCGCCTGCTCTGCGACATGATGTGCGCCGAGGACGACGCGTCGAACGCGGAGGTCTTCGAGCACTGCGCGCGCGCGCTCTACAGCGTCGCGCGCGAGCAGCGGTTCAACGGCGTGCTGTTGGACCAGGGCGCCCTCGAGGCCATCCCGCGCCTCGGCGCGCTGCCGGAGTGCTACGCCCTCGCCGCGGCGACGCTGCACCTGTTGTCGCTGGAGCCGCCGCATCGGGAGATGATCGTCGCGGACGTCGCCGCGCGGGATTTGCTGCTGCGCCTCGCGGAGGCGCCCGAGGACCCGCACGCGGCGTCGACGGTCCAGTCCTGCGCCCAGACCTTCTTCTGGCTGAGCCGCTGCACGGCCCAGGCCCGCGAGGAGCTCGCGTCCGCGGGGCTCGTGCCGCTGCTCATCCGCCTGAGCCGCCACGGCGACGACAAGGTCGCGTCGTCGTGCTCCGAGGCCCTCAAGAACCTGAGCAGCGGCGGGTCGGGGGGCATCGAGGAGGGCACGGTGTCGACGCTCATCGCCATGACGCTCTCCGGCGGGCCGTCGACGAACGCCGCGGCGCTCGACGCGGACAGTCTCGCGGAGCTGCCCCAGAAGCCTTTAGACGAGCAGCTCTACAAGCCGTCGCCGGAGCTCGAGCCCCAGAGCCTTTTAGGCGCCTTCGAGCCCCACACCGTGTCCGTCATGAAGATGGTCGGCGGCATCGCCGGCGCGGGGCCCCCGCCGCCCGAGCCGCCGGAGATGGACGTCCAGGACACGCTCAACCTGAGCTTCCTCGACTCCGGCGACGCGCTCGAGGACGACGAGAACATGGGCGCGTCGATGATGTTCGCCAAGATCACCGCCGACGCGTCCTCCTCCGCCTAGGGGCGGAGACGCCACGAAAGCCCCCTCCCCCCCGTAAGATCTCCGCCAGAGCGCCCCGTTTTCTCGGCGTGCGGTTCGCGGGCGCCTGACTTAGGTCTTCCGCGTTGCCGGCGCGTCGCTCGAGCCTCAAAGGTAGGACGCGATGTCGGCCTTGATGTATTTCGTGACTCGGATCCGGGGCGCGGCCGTCTCGAGCAGCTGGCCGGCGACGAGCGCGGCCTTGCGCTTGGCGGGGATGCCCGCGGACTCCACAACCGTCATGTTGTTGACGGTCACGCGGCCGCGCCGCGCGAGCTCGACGAGCGCGTCGAAGCCGACGGCCGCCGCGATCGCGACGGCGCTCGCGTCGTTGTTGTCCGCGAGGCTGCGCAGCGTCACTGCGGCGGAAGTTTTGGCGGCCGCGCTGCCGACGCGTAGGAGCTCGACGAGCGGCGGGATGCCGCCGGCCGCGGCGATCGCGACCTTGTTGTCGTTGTTGAACGCGAGGTAGCACAGCGCCGTCGCGGCCTGCAATTTGGCCTCCGCGCTCCCGTCGCGCAGGAGCTCGACGAGCGGCGGAATGGCGCCGGCCGCGACGATCTGGACCTGGTTGGCGCGGTTGTTGCCCGCGAGGCTGCACAGCGCGCGCGCGGACTTCTCTTTGCCGCTCGCGGTCCCGTCGCGCAGGAGCTCGACGAGCAGCGGGATGGCGCCGGCCTCGGCGATCAGGACCGCGTTGTCGTGGTTGGCCCACGCGAGGGTGCCCAGCGCGCGCGCGGACTTCTCTTTGCGGTTCGCGCGCCCGTGGCGCAGGAGCTCGACGAGCGGCGGGATGCCGCCGGCCTCGGCGATCAGGACCTTGAAATTGAAACTGCTGTACGCGAGGTTGCCCAGCGCCTCCGCGGCACACGCTTGGGCGGTCGCGCTCCCGTCGCGCAGGAGCTCGACGAGCGGCGGGATGCCGCCGGCCTTGGCGGTTCGGACCTCGTTGACTGTAGTGTAGTAGTCGTTCTCCCCTAGGTCCGCGAGGTTGGCCAGGTTCCGCGCCGCCGCAATCTTCGCGTCGTCGTCGCCCTCCCGCAAAATACGCACGGCCTTGCGGACGTGCTTCTCGATTGCTGCAGCCGCCATGCTGACCCTTGGTGAAACGCCGACATTGACCTCAACGTGAAAAACACGGCGCGGCGCAATGATGGACCAGTCGGCCATTCAGGACGCGCAATGATGGGCTAGAGCCTGCGCCCGCCGCTCCGCATAGACCCACACACAAATAAAAGGCTGGCTGCGCGGCGTCCAAATATGCACGCGCGGCGGGCCCGGCACGACGACGTCGCCGGCCGCGCGTCGTCGCGCCCCGCGCGGCGCGGCCCGCTGCGCGACGCGCTGCGCGCCGCCGTCGGCGGCGGCGGGCCCGGCGCGGCGGCCATGGTGCTCCAGGTCGTGCTGCTCATGTGGCTGCGGACGACGATCAACGTGCAGATGGCCACGGGCGCGAGCTTCTTCGCCACGGTCGCGGCGCTCTACGCCGAGGGCGGCGTCGGCCGCTTCTACCGCGGCGCGTGGGTCGCGCTGCTGAGCGCGCCCCTGAGCCGCTTCGGCGACACGGCGGCGAACGAGGGCGTGCTCGCGCTCCTCGCGGACCGGCCGGGGGTGCCCGTGGCCGTCAAGACGGTCGCCGCGTCCGCGTGCGCGGCGCTCTGGCGCGTCGCGATCTTCCCCGTCGACACGGTGAAGACGACGCTCCAGGTCGGCGGCGCGGGCGCGGCACACGCCCTCGCGCGCAAGGTCGCGGCGGCCGGCCCCCTCGCGCTCTTCGACGGCTGCGTCGGCGCGGCGCTCGCGACGCTCGCGGGCCACTACCCCTGGTTCGCCGCGAACAACGTCCTCGAGGCGCGCGTGCCCGACTGGGGGCCCCGGCGGACGCACGCGCGGCGCGCCCTCATCGGCTTCGCGTGCTCCGCCGTGTCCGACACGACGTCGAACTCGATCCGCGTCGTCAAGGTCTACGTGCAGACGGCGCCGGAGCCGCTCTCCTACGGCGCCGCGCTCGCGCGCGTCGTCGCGGACCGCGGCGTCTGGGGGCTCCTCTTCTCGGGGCTCCCGGCGAAGCTGTTGTGCAACGGCGTCTCGTCCGTCGTCTTCTCCGTCATCTGGAAGACGCTCATGGACCGGCGCAGGGCCGCGCCGGGCAGCCCGCGGAAGCGCGACGACGGCGACGGCGGAAATGACGACGACGACCCCGAGGCGGGGCTCCTGTCCCGCGCCTAGGCGGCTCTCGCCACCGTGGTCGGGCCGTCTCTACACACGTGGTCGAATTAGGGCTGGGCCATGTCCCGGTACGAGTCGAGGTTGTCGTACCAGGCCTGGAGCTTCACGGGCGAGGCCGTGAGGACGTACTTGGCGATGACGCGGTCGCCGACGGTGACGGCGCTGACGCCGTGGGACGCGCCCTCGGCGCGGACGACGAGCAGCGAGTTCGGCGGCAGCCACTTGCTCTCGAGCGAGCCGTCGGCGTTCTCCCAGTGCGTCTCGCTGTCGCTCGAGTTGCAGAGCGTCAGCACGCACTCGAGCTGGGGCTCGTCGTAGAGCGCCTCGTCCTTGTGCCAGCCCATGGCCGCGCCCACGGGGTAGGCCCTCAGCTCGACGGGAAAATCCGCGGGTTCGAGGCGGTCGTCGCCGAGGATGGCCCGCAGGCGCCCCACGGCCTCGGGCCCGCTGAGCGCCGCCACGATGGCGTCGGCCGGCGCGAGGAAGCAGCCCGTCCGCCCGACGGCGACGGACTCCATCGTCTCGGGCCGCAGCGCCGGCCGCTTCGCGTCGGCCTCGCGCGCGAGCGCCGCGAAGACGACCGGCTCGAAGAAGGACTCGACGACGCAGACGCCGTCGCGCGCGTACTTGCGCGCGGCCGCCGCGTCGCCCGCGGCGCGCACCGCGTCGAGGGGCGCGCCCGCGAGCACGCGCTCGGCGTAGCGCTGCTGCTGCGCCGGGGGCGACGCCGGCGCGGCGCGGAGGGCTGAGCGCGGCCGCGGCCCCGGCGGCGCGCGGAGGGCGTCGACGAGCGACAGGCAGGCGACGACGAGGAGCGCCGCGGCCCGCCTTCTTCTTCTCGGCTCGTGCGCACGAAACATGCTCCCGAGCTTTGCGGCTCAAGGTGCACTTTAGAAGCAACGTTGTCTGCAACAAGGAGTTACGATCCGCGACACGACCGCGAGGCTGCCCACTTGTTGGCTGCCCATGGACGACGACGGCGCGCCCTGGAACGAGTGGAGCGCGTCCGACGTCGCGTCGAAGCTCGTCGACGACGACGGCGGCCTGCGGAGCGCGCGCCTCGCGCGCGAGCGCGGCGCGTCGCGCGAGCGGCTGCGCAAGGAGCGCGCGAAGCTCAAGGACCACATCAAGCGCGTCGCGGGCCGCAAGGCCTGCGACGTGGGGCGCGCGGACTACGACGCGGTCATCGCGGCCCAGGACCGGCTGCCGGGCCTCGACGAGGAGCTGAAAGCGCTCGCGCGGGACCGCCGCGCGGCGGCCGCCGCGGCGCTCCGCGCGGACCACGCCGCGGCGGAGGCGCTCCGGCGCGCGGGCGTCGCGCGGCGGCTCGGCGGCGACGAGCGACACGTCACGCGCCAGGGCGTCGCCGCGCGGCGGTCGCTCGCGTGCCGCCTCGACGGCATCAAGGGCGACGCGGCCGTCGAGCTCGCGAACGTCGCGGGCAAGCCGCGGCCGAGCGAGTCGACGGAGATGGTCGCCGTGCGGGCGCTGCTCGAGAGCAACCTGAAGGCGAAGCGGTTCCGCGAGGCGCGGCGCTACCTGGGCATCCTGGAGTCCATGGAGGAGGACGCGCGGCGCCGCGAGGCGAAGCGCCTCGAGGACGCCGCGAACGCCGTGCGCGACCGCGCGGCCCGCGACGCGACCGGCGCCGAGCGCGCGAGCGCGGCGCGCATGGAGACCAGGTACGCCGAGCTCCGGGTCCGGCGCCGGGGCGCTCTCGGCGACGAGCGGCGCGCGCGGCGGACGCGCGCGCTCCGCGTCGAATACCGCGCGACGGTCGCCGCGCGCGAGGGCCCCGCGCCGCTCCCGCCGTCGCCCGTGAAGCGGCGCGCGGCGCTCGCGCCCTTCCGGGGCGCACCGCCCGGCGGCCGCGGCGACACGCGCGTCTGCGGGCGCCACGACTTCGACACCGCGGCGGACGGCACGGTGTCCTTCGACGCGTGGTCGAGGACCTTCGCGCCGAAGCGGCGGTTGCGGGCCCCGGTCTGCGACGACGCGCCGGCCGCGGAGCGGCCGCGGAGCTCGGACCCGCTCGGCGCGTCCTTCTGGATCACGACGGGCCACCTGAGCCACGGCGAGGACACGGCCGCGGGCGCGCTCAGCCCCCGGGGGCCCCTCTACGGCCAGCGCCTCGCGGACCTGCGCTTCTAAGCGAACTTGAAGAGCGCGCGCGCGGTGCCCCCGAGGATCGCGGCGCGTTGGCCGGCGGGCAGGTCCGCGCAGAATCCGGCGACGGCGTCGAGGGACGCGCCCTGGCCGCCGCTGAGCTGGGCGAAGGGGAAGTCGGAGCCCCACATGAGGCGGTCCGCGCCGTAGGCGTCGACGAGCGCGGCGAAGCGGGGCTTCAGGTCCGCGTAGGGCGGGCCCTCGCGGCTCACGCGGAAGAGCGCGGAGAGCTTGACGTAGACCGTAGCGTGGTCCCGCCCGAGTTTCAGGAGCGCCTCCCAGGCCGCCTCGTCGAAGGCGAGACCGGGCGCCGCGGGCGCGCCGGGGCTCTCGCGGGGAAACCCCCAGTGGTCGACGACGACGGGCACGGCCTTCGGGTGCGCGAGCAGCGCCTCGATCGACGGCAGGAGGGGCGTCAGGCCCTGGAAGGCCATGACGCCGATCGCCAACCCCCGCGCGTGGCAGATCTCGAGGAGCTCGAGGCCCGCGCCGTCGGCGAGCCACGCGCCGGATCGCGCGGCCTCGGGCCAGAGGTAGGGGTTGAAGCGCACGCCCGTCCAGGTCCCCGGCGGCGCGCCGTCGACGAGCGCCGCGAGGGCGCCCGGGTCCGCCGGGTTCGCGAGCGCCATGCCCCGGAAATTTTTGCGCGATTCGAGCACGGAGGCGACGTAGGCGTGGTCGAATTCGTAGTTGATGGGCTGCACGACGAGCGCGCCGTCGGCGCCGACGGCCGCGAGGCTCGCGTCCAGCGCCTCCGCGGACGCGACGGCGTCGCCGAGCTCCGGCGGCGGCTCCTTGCCGGGCGCGTAGGGAAACGTCGAGCTCCAGACGTGCAGGTGGCTGTCGATGACCATGGCGCGCGGCGGCGTCGTCCGGGAGAGGCCGACGGCGGCGAGGCCGCCGGCGGCGCCGGCGACCGCGGCGCGGCGGCGGAGCGCGAAGCCGGAGACGCTGGCGCCGAGGAGGAGCAGCGTGTTGGCCGGGCGCATCGGACGACGCGCAGGCTGGAGTTGGCGAGCGTGTCTACAAGTTGACCAAGTTATTGAAGGGGATGCGCGCCCGGAAGCGTCCGTCCGGGGGAGGGGAGGCAGGTCCGCGGAGGGACCCCCCCGGAGCGAACCAGACCGAGCAGGCGCGGGGCGGCAGCTCCTGAGTGGGCTCGAGGGCCACACCCACCGTACTCGCCGTGGACCGGGGGAAGTTGAGAACGAGGGCACCCGCACCCGGCAGGCAGGAACTCCGGGCGGACCAACCCGATTCACCTCAGGACCACGAATGGCTAGCCGAGGGCGCACGCCGAAGAGGACGCTCGCCGGCCAGCGAGCGGGAGCAGAGGCGGCAGCAGAAGCAGAAGCAGAGGCAGAGGCAACATCGGCGGCGGCGGCAGCGGCAGGGGCGGGCAGCAGAGGCAGCAGAGGCGGCGGCAATAGAGGCGACAGCGGCAGCGGCAGCAGGGGCCGAGACGGCAGCGGAACCTGAGGAGACGCACGTGGGAGAACACTCTGAGCAGGCGCAGGAGGCAAAGAAACGAATGGACCCTGGCACATCCAAGCCCGCACACCGAGACCGCCGACGGCGCCAACCTCCTCAGCTCCCTCCGAGGCCCGCGCCGAAAGTCTCCAACCGAGGTGAGCGCACGCGGCAGCCGCCCAGCCCGCAGGCGACGCCGGCACCGACGGTCAAGGGCTGGAAGACCCCGCGCGCGGCGCTCCGCGGCTCAACCGGCGCGCCCAGCGGGCTGCCCCTCAACGAGCACCCTCCGGACCCGACGCGCCCAGCGCCACCATCGGGCGTCGTGCAGAAGCACCCCCGCGCGCCTCCCAAGGCCGCCCCATAAGGTGGCAGCGTTATGTTGACCAAGTTGAGGTTGCCCAAGTTGCTGATGTTGCTGTGCCTGTGGCAGTGGCAGCTCTCGAGATCCTGTGGCAGAGGGCGTCGCAGGGCGCCGCCGAGCACGTCGCGCGGCTGCGCCTACTCCCGGGCTCCGCGCGCCGGCGCCGAGCCCGAGCCCCTGCTGCGCGACCGCCGCGCGCCGCGCCCGGCGATGGGCTACCTCACGCTCGGCACGTGGCGCGTGGCCGCGAGCGCGTCCTACCTCTGGGACAACCTCTGCGCCGGCTGCGTGCTGTCGACGAACATCTTCTTCAACATCGCACTACTAAAACTCGCGACGATCGCCGCGGGCTGCCGGCCCGAGGGCAACGACGACGACGGCGCGTGCACGAAGCACGTCTACGGCCTGAAGCCGAGCTCGCTCGTGACGACGGTCGTCATGGTCGGCCAGCTGTCCGCCGCGTTCCTCATGCCCTTCGTCGGCGCCGCCGTGGACTACACGGACTCGCGGCGCCTCTTCGGGTCCGCGTCCGCGTGGATTTTGGCGGTGACGACGCTGCTCCAGGCCGTGATCTCGCGGCGGACGTGGCAGCTCGTGGCCTGCCTGCAGGTCGTGTCCATCGCGTCCTACGTCTGCCACCAGGTCGCCGTGCTGAGCTACCTGCCGGGGCTCTCCGTCGTCGACGGCGCGGAGGACGAGCACGAGCGCTACCGGGTCAACTCGATGGCGAACGTCGCCGCGCTCGGGTCCCAGATGGGCACGCTCGGCGTCGTCATGGCGCTGGCGCACGGGTTGGGGCTCGGGGACGTGAACACGGCGGCCCTGGGCCAGTTCGCCGTCGGCGTCGTGCTCTTCGCCGTCTACGCGGCCATCTGGCAGAAGCGCGCGTCCTTCGCGTTCCCGGACGCCAAGGCCACCAAGGCCCTGCCCGCGGGCGCGTCCCTCGCGGCCGTGGCCGTGCGCGAGGTCTTCAGCGCCTGGCAGACCATCCAGAAGCGGTCGCCCGCGGCGGGCCGGTTCCTCCTGGGCTACGCGCTCGTGAACGGCGGCATGACGGGCTTCGGGTCGCTCGCCGTCGTCTTCATGAACGACCACCTCAAGATGGAGAGCGCGGACACGGTCGCCGTCGTCGGGCTGACCATCGTCTTCGCCATCCCCGCGGCGGCGCTCGCCGTGCGGCTCATGGACCGCCTCGGCGCGCGGCGGACGTTCGTCGCGTCCATCGCCTACATGACGGCCGTGACCGTCGCGGCGCCCGTCGTGCTGTGCGGGCCGTCGTGCCGGAGCCTCGTCTTCCTCTTCGCCTTCTTCTGGGGCCTGGGCTTCGGCGTCTTCTACGCGTCGAACACGTCCTTCTTCACGGAGCTCGTGCCGGGCGACGCCATATCGCAGTTCATGAGCCTCTACTACTTCTCCGCGCAGGTCCTGTCCTGGGCGCCGCCGGCGGTCTACACGCTGCTCAACCAGCTCACGTCCGAGACGCATCTCTCCCTCTTCGTCCTCGCGGCCTTCTTCGCGGCGTCGCTCCCCGTGTTCCGGGGCATCCCGCCGCCGGACGCGGCGCCCAAGGCGCCGCGGACGCCGAGCGACGAGCCCATGGTCGACGCGCCGCGCCGCGAGGCGCGGGAGAACGACCTCGTCGCCGGCATCGAGAGCCAGGACGTCCTCTAGGGCGGGCGTCTTGCGTTTTTTTTATGTGGGTACCTCCGACCATATCCCGCCGGAAACGGCGCTTCAATGCAGGCTTCAACCAAACCTTGTAATAAGCGTTGAGCTGCAATTACAAAGAGTTTACCCCCCCTTACACGTGACGATGGGCAGACCATGATGGGGCCAATCGCGCTCGCGCCGCGGTGGCGTTCCGCGCTGGCCGCGTTCGCGCTGCTGGCCGTCGCGGCGGGCGACGACCAGCCCTGCGTGACGGACAGGGACGTCATCCTCGTCGTGGACCGGTCCGTGTCCATCACGAAGGAGGGCTGGAACGACGTCGTCCTCGACACGCTCTACTCCTTCATCGACAGCTTCGCCCCGTCGGTGGAGTCGAACGTGCGCCTCGGCATCGTCGTCTTCCCGGCCTTCGACGGCAAGGAGACGCGGGACGACCTCAGCGGCGGCGCGGCCGTCGCCGCGAATTTGACGTACGACGCGGATTCGCTGAAGCGGCTCGTCAACGCCACGGTCCGCGTCGACGACGAGGCCCAGGTCGGCACGGCGTGCGCCAACGGCAAGCTCAACGACGGGTCCTGCGAGTGCGACCCCCAGGGCGCCGCGAACTCGACGCTGTCCTGGCCCTGCGGGGGCTGGCACTGGACGCCGACGTGGCAGGCGCTGTGGCTGGCCCGGCGGATGTTCCTCGATTTGGACGACGTCGACGCGACGGGGCTCGTGGACCACGACGTCTACGTCGTGACGGACGGCGCGCCCGCTCACATCCGCAACGACGACTACGAGTACTCGCGCGCGGAGAAGCAGCGGCAACGCATGCGGCCGACGCACCTGACGCTGAGCGCGGCGACGGACCTGAAGGACACGATGAGCGACCTGGGGGGCGGCGACCTCTTCGGCGTGGGCGTCGGGCCGAAGTGGTCCGACTTCGGGACGTACTGCGCGCCCTTCTGCGACGAGGGCGGCGGGGGCCTGTTCGCGGGCAACTACGACGACGACGGCGCGTACTCGGGCACCGTGACGCTCTATGATTTCGACAACTCGGACCTCTACTGCGGCGCGACCTACGAGGAGTACCCCTACGGGTGCGCTGGCGGCGACCTGGCGTCGAAGGCCCTCGGCTGCGACAAGGACTGCGCCGTCGCCTACGACGCCATGATCTCGGGGCACACGGCGGCGATCAAGGAGGCGCGCTTCACGGAGATCGCCGACATCGACGCGCTGAGCCTGCAGGCGTTCCGCGACGACTTCCGCCGGGCCCTCTGCACGAACACCGACGACGACTTCCACCTCGGCGACATCGCCGTCACGCCGTTCCCGACGGCGGACCCCTACGACCCGACGCTCGCGCCGACGCCGAGCCCCGTGGGGCCGCCGGACGCGGCGCTCTTCAACCCGTCCGCGGCGCCGACGGCGGCGCCCCAGTTCAGCCCGCGGCCGACGTCCCCACCGGCGGCGCCCCAGTTCAGCCCGCGGCCGACGTCCCCACCGCGCGAGACGGCGGCGCCGACCGAGGCGGACCTCGTCACGACGATCGGCCTCTCCTTGTCTTCGGTGCTCCACGCCGCCTGCGACGGCGACGGCATCACGATGGCCGACGGCACGGTGCTCGACGCCGCCTGGATCGAGGAGCACGGCTTCGAGATGAACGACGCGGCCCACGACACGCGGTGCGGCGCCGACTCGCGGCGGCGCCTCGGCGGCCGGCGCCTCGAGGAGATCGCGACGTCGGACCTGGACGCGTCGGAGACGTCCGTGGACACGAGCTCCTGCGAGAATTTCACGAACGCGACGAACGCGACGGTCATGTACTTCTCGCAGCCCACGGCGCGCGGGGACCTGACGAGCTTCGGCTACGACTACCTCGACGACGGCGCGCTGCGCGACTACGATATGTCGGCTTTGCAGGACATGGTGCTCGCGGAGCTCGTGACCATGATCTCCGGCGAGCTCAGTAGCGTCCTCAAGTCGAACCTGGCCCACCTCAACATTTCCTACGCGGATCTGGGGGACTTCGGCTCCGCCTCGAGGCGGGCGAACGCGCGGCGCGCGGAGGAGACGGACGACCTCGCGGAGGGCGGCAACGCGCACTTCTCCCAGTTTGGCTGCGTCACCGGCACCATCGGCCCCGTCTCGCCGTCGGCGGCGCCGTCGGGGCCGACGGCCGCGCCGACGCGAGAGTTCGCGCCGTCTCGTAGCCCCCGGCCCGCGCCGTCGGCGTCGCCAACATGGACGCCATCGACCTCGACGACACGCCCCGCGGCGCCGTCGGCCATGCCCACGGTCTACGCCGGCGACCCGACGCGCGCGCCTCTTCCCCGGCCGACGGCCGCGCCGCCGTCCGCGGGCCCGCGCGACCCGACGCGCGCGCCCGCGCCGCGGCCCGGCGCGGCGCCGACGACGGCCGCGCCGTCCGCGGCGCCGACGACGGCGCCCGTCGAGTTCGCCGTCGTCATCGACTTCCTCTTACCCGACGGCAGCGTCGTCTCCTGCGGCGAGGCGGGCCTCGAGCTCTACGACGGCACGGAAATCAACGGCCGGTTCTTCGCGGCGTCCCTGGGCGTGTCCACCGAGGCCGTCGAGACCGTGGCGAACTGCGGGGACGGCCGGCGACTCCTCGCGGCGAACGCGACCGCCGCGCCTACCCCGCATAGCTGCAGCGACGTCAGCGCAGACATCACCATGTTCGACCACGAGATCGACGCGCTCTCGGCGAGTTTGGGGCGGCGGCTCGCGACGAAGTACGCCTACATCGACGACGCGGAGGCCGCGATCGCGGCCGCGATCGCCCGCTACTACGGGCTGAACCAGACCGCCGAGGCCACGGACGCCTGCGGCGGCGTCTCCGTCGACGTCGCCGTCGTCTACTACCCGACGCCGAGCCCGACACGGGAGCCCGACGACGACGACGAGATGATAGCGACCGCGAGCCTGGGGTCCTTGGGGTCGACGTCCTGGCTCGCCGTCGTCGCGTTGACTTTCGTGTTCTGGTCCGTCATCCCCCTCGGCGCCCTGCGGCCCGCCACCCCCCTCGACCTGCTCGCGAACGAGTTCGGCGGCATCGAGGTCGAGGAGGACCACGGCGCCGCGGGAGGCCCGTCGTCCCCCGACTCGGGCCTCCCGCCCGCGCGCCCCGAGCGCCCGGCGAAGGGCGGCCGCTGCGTCCCGTCGGGCGTGCGCTTCGCGCCGCTGACGCCCCGCTGCGTCGCCGTCCTCGCGCTCGGGATCCTCGACGGGAACTTCGACGCGGGCTTCTGCGTCGAGACGCGCCGCGGCGCGCTGTCCTTCTCCGTCGCCGCCGCCGCGGTCCACGTACTCCGCATGGCCGCGGCGCCCTACGTGCTCTGCCGCGGCTACGGCGACCCGCGGCTCAAGGGGCCCAGGATGCCCGGCGAGAGCCGCTGGCGCCTCGCGGTCCTCGGTTTCGTGTGCTGGACGCACAAATTGGACGTGGCCCGCCTGCTCCGGTCCGCCGCGCGCCGCGCGCACCCCGACCTGGACTACACGGCGTCCGTGCCGTCCCTCGACGCGACGACCGTGCTCTGCCAGGCCATCATCAAAGTGTGCTACGTCGCGAAGACGGGGCGGCTTCCCGGGATCGTCGTCTGCGGCTTGATGTGCGACGTCGTCGTCTTCGCCGAGTACCTGAGCCGCCTCTACGTCGCGGCCGATCCCGTCGACGAGCCCAAGAAGACCTGGGCCGACCTCTACCGGGACGAGGCCGAGGACGGCGACGTCGAGGAGGACGACGTCACGAGCCCTCTGCACAAGGCCGCGTCGCGGAAGCGCTGGTTCGACGCGCCCAAGGAGAGCCAGGACGTCGACCTCGAGCTCAGGCGTCTCGGCGGCGCGGCGCGGAGCGCGCCGCCGCACGGCGCCCAGCAGCCGGCCCACCGCGCCCGCGCCACGAGCCCGTCGCACAGGGCCGCGCCGCGGAAGCGCTGGTTCGAGGCGCCCAAGGAGAGCCAGCGCCTCGCGAAGGAGGCGGGGCGCCACGCGGTGCCGGACGCGCCGGAATTCGAAGCGCCCGAGGCCGACGCGGCCCTCGACCTGTTCCGATCCGCCACGGGCCTCGAGCCCGCAGGCTTCTTCTGCTGCCAGAACCAGCACGAGTGGGCGACCGACGATGGCCGACGACCGCTCGAGTGGGCGGACCTGAACCCGACCGACGATGACCAACGACCGCTCGACTCGATGATTGCCGAGTTCCTCGGAACCTCCCGCGCGTTGTAAGTTGAGGTTCAAGTTGTAGATATCCTGAAACGGTGATGTATCATTTCACTTGAAAAGCGCGAAGAACGTCTCGACGTCTGCGTCCGCGCGGGAGAAGAACGCACGTCGCGTCGGCCGCCGGGAACGCCGCTCGCTGACGTGGGACGCTAAGGACCTTAAAAATACAGAAGTTAAAGGGAAGTTTAAAACAGCCAGGAGACGGGCCACTTTACGACGGTCCGATGCGCTCGCTTTTGACGCTCCGCAAGCGGTCGTCGCTGGGCGCGCGCCTCGGCGGGCGGCGGGCGGCGTCGAACGGCCTCGACGAGGCCGACGACGGCCTCGACGGCACGTCGCCGCCGGCGTCGCCCAGGCGGCGCGGCTCGCGGCGCGTGCGCGCGTCCACGGGCAGCTTTCGCGGGCGCGACACGTTCCCCGACTTCAACCGCGGCGACGGCGCCGCGCTCGACGTCGTGCCCGTGGAGCGCGGCGTCGCCCGGGCCATCGCCGACGTCGACGACGAGGACGCGGAGCGCTCCCCCGCGGCCGTCGCGCGCCGCGTCGACGCGGCCGTCGCGGCCGTCGACGCGGCCTGCCGCCGCGTCGAGCCGCCGCGCCCGCGGCTCAAGGACATCGTCGACGAGGTGCTGACGAACGCGCGCGAGGAGGGGCGGCCCGCGCGCGAGGTCTTCGAGGTCATTGACCCGGCGGGCGCGCGCGCCCTCGCGCCCGCGGACTTTGTGCGCGGGCTGCGGGAGCTCGACACGGACCGGCTTCTGGACGCCGACGGCCGGCGGCCGACGCTCGAGTTTTTGGGCTTCGTCGAGCCCTTCGAGCGCCACGGCGACGGCAAGGTCCACATGGCGCCCTTCGAGACCTACTGCGCCGCGCTCCAGGCGCCGCCCTGGGCCCGCGACGCGGCGTCGAAAGCCGACGCGCTCCCGCCCCTCGCGGCGAGCGCGACGCGCGCGCCGTCGCCCCGGGAACCGCGCGCGGCCGCGCCCGCCGCATTCCGGACGACCTTCTAACGCATGGTGCACTTCAAGGCTACTTCATCAAACATGGTGCCCCTGCCTCCACGCGATCGATCTCGCGCGCGCGCGCACATGGATTGCCCAAGTGCGCCCACTGCGCGCCTGAGTTCGTCGTCCGCCGCGCGACCGGCGCATCGGCGCGAGCACATCTGAGCTCGCCCAGAGCACACCCAAGACACGCCGTCGTCCGCCGCGACTGCCGCGACCGACGCCGCAAATCGCTCGCGATGAGCAACGAGCTGCTGCGCGTGCGGCGCGTCTGGGAGCGGCACGACTTCGCGCTGCCGTGCACGGAGGGCGACGCCGAGGTCGTGACGGTCTTCGAGGGCTTCTTCCTCGGCCGCGGGCGGTCGCTCCTCGCCGGCCAGGAGCAATTCGCGGACGTCACCGTGGAGTACGGCGACTTCCTGTCGACGATGCGGCTCGACGTCTTCGACTTCGAGGCCATGCTCTTCGCGCAGCCCGCGCGCGTGCTGCTCCAGCTCGGCGTCGCCGTCGACCTCGCGCTCGCGGCGCCCGACCGCCGCGCGCCGCCCGGCGGCGCGACCCTGCGCCTGCGCAACGTCGTGCCGCAGCTCCCGCTCGCGCAGCTCCGGTCCGAGCAGGTCGGCCGCTTCGTCGCCGTGCGCGCGACGGTGACGCGCGCGTCCGCCGTGCGGCCCCTCGTCGTCGCGGCGAGCTTCTCCTGCGCCAAGTGCGGCGCGGGCGAGGCCGACGACGCGCTGCGCGTCAAGTTCCCCGACGGCAACTTCGCGTCGCCGACGTGCTGCGTCTCCGGCGAGTGCAAGTCGCGGTCCTTCGACCTCAAGCGCGGCTCCGCGGCGGCGCTCGACTACCAGAAGATCAAGGTCCAGCAGCAGTTCGACGAGGGCCCCGGCGGCGACGACGGCGCGGGCCGCGTGCCGCGCCATTTGGACGTCGAGTGCCGGGGCCACGCGTTGGTGGACCTCTGCGTGCCCGGCGACGTCGTCGTCGTGAGCGGCGTGCTCCGGTGCGTCAACTCCGCCGTCGCCGCGGGCCGCCACGACAAGCGGGCCCTGGCGACGGCGACGGCCGTGCTCTACCTGGACGCGAACTCCGTCGTCAACGCGTCGCGCGAGGCGGAGCGCGGCGTCGCGGAGGTCGCGGACGCGGGCACGTGCGACGTCGTCGTCGGCGGCGGCGACAACTTCGTCGCGCCGGCGGCGCTCGTGGACCCGCGGGGCGTGTCCCACTCAGGGCAGCACAAGCGAGCGAAATTCCCAACTTCAAAGGCTCCGATCTCGGCCATTTTCCACTCGTTTCGGCTGATTTTTGGACGAGCGATCATCTCTCGGAACGGTCTCGAAGCGTGGATGTGTGCGTGGATGTGGTTTCCGTAACGCGCGCGCGCGGAACACTCACGTTGAATCGACGTTGAATCACTCTTGTGCTGCCCAGGTCCCACTTCGGGGACGCGGACCTCGCGATCGTGAAGCAGATCGCCGGCGACGACGACGTGCTGGGCCTGCTCGTGGGGTCGCTCGCGCCGGCCATCTACGGCCACGAGCTCGTGAAGCTCGGCCTCTTACTGGGCCTCTTCGGCGGCACGAAGGACGACGACGACGACGACGACCGCGACGCCGCGCGCGCGGCCGCGGCGCGGCCCGGCGCGCGCGACGACGTCGCGCTCGACTTCGCGGACCCGGCGCTCGCGGGCAAGGCGCCGCGGCGGAGCGACCGCGTGAGCGTGCGCGCGAACTCGCACGTGCTCGTCGTGGGCGACCCGGGCCTCGGCAAGTCGCAGATGCTCCGCGCCGCGGCCGTCGCCGCGCCGCGGTCCGTCTACGTCTGCGGCAACACGACGACGGCGACGGGGCTCACGGTGTCGCTGAACCGCGACGCCGACGGCGCGCCCGCGCTCGAGGCCGGCGCGCTCGTCCTCGCGGACCGCGGCGCGTGCTGCATCGACGAGTTCGACAAGATGGACGGCGGCCAGCACGCGGGCCTCCTCGAGGCCATGGAGCAGCAGCAGATCTCCATCGCCAAGGCCGGCGTCGTCGCGTCGCTCTCCGCG